CCTGGCAGGCGGACTCTTCACCCCTGGACCACCAGGGAAGCCCTCCGTGTGGTCTCTTGAATAGACTAGTTTGGGCTTCCTTACAACATGGCAGCTGGGTTCCCAGAGTGAGCATCCCAGGAGGTAGGAAGTGATGTCTTGAGGGCCTGGACACAGTTATATTGTCATTTTTGCTCTATTCTATTGGCTGAGGACTAACATAGCCCAGATTCAGCATTGACACCAACTCATGACTGGAGGAATGGTAGAGAATCTGGGGGCTCTGTTTTAAAACTGCTGCAGTTCCCGAGATGATAGAGGGGGTCACATCTCACGTCCGTTCTCATTGACTGTCTGACTGTTGCATGTCAGTGTCTATGTCTGCTGTCTTCCTCCTCTGAGCACCAGTACAGTATTCCGCAGCCCATTGTATGTCGGTGGGGCAGAGAGATTAGTTTTAGCTGGTGGAGTGAGTGCAGAAGTCCCATGTGTCTCCTTGCGTCGAGGTAGGTAAGAGCCATGGGTTTTCTCACTCTCTCCCGCTCACCTCCCAGCTAGATGCAGCGGAGCCAGAGGTGGACGTGGGTGCAGGAGCTGGTGGAGTCACAGTATGGAAGGAACCTGGGTCCCTGAACGAAGGCTAGAGTGAGTCCCTCATCCCATGCCCTCTGCCCACAATAACATGGAGGAGAGGGAGGCCTTCATCATGTTAGGTCACCGAAGTGTTAGGTTATTTGTGACAGCAGGCAGCATACCCTAATACATTAACCAACCTCTCTGAACCTGCTTCCTTACCTGAAAAGGTGGGTATTATCAATAGCTATGATGAGTACCCTCATAAGAATTAAGTGAAATAATTTAATGCACAGCCCCTGGCACACAGGAAGTTCTCAATGGTGGCTCAGATGGTAAAGAATCTGCCTGCAATATGGGAGACCTGGGTTTGATCCTTGGGTCAGGAAGATCCCCTGGAGAGTGGAATGGCAACCCACTCCAGTATTCTTGCCTGGAGAATCCCATGGACAGAGGCTACAGTCCATGAGGTTGCGGAGAGTCAGATATGACTGAGTGACTAACACTTTCAGTGTCATTGCTACAAAGTTAATATGACAGCCAGTTGGAAAAGGAGGCAGGCTTGTGCCTGGGAGGATGGCGGTCCATGAGGAGGGGCGCAGTAGGCTGGCCATCAACATCGCCATTATCAAGATGCCACCTTGATTTGTTGAGTCCCTGCCTGGGCCAGCCTCTGTTTTAGGGGCACTTCACTTGTGTTCAGGTCAGTCCTCCAAGGCCGATGTTGTTAACCTTGGGGGCCCAGAGCTGCTGCCGAAGCTGTCCAAAGTCACACAGACAGTGACTCAGGCTGGCCTTAACACATTATTGACCAAAGATATGTTAGCATGTCTTTTGTTGTTATTGCTGTTCAGTCACTACGTTGTGTTCAACTCTTTGCAACCTCATGGACTACAGCAGGCCAGGCTCCTCTGTCCTTCACTATCTCCCGGAGTTCGCTCAAATTCATGTCCACTGAGTTGATGATGCCATCCAACCATCTCCTCCTCTGTCTCCCCCTTCTCCTCCTGCTCTCAGTCTTTCCCTGCATCAGGGTCTCGAAATGTTATTGACTGGAGTGCTTCAGTATTCACTTATCTAATAAATCACCGGCCACAAGCGTCAGTTTCTGCAAAAATCCCGTGGTCAGTAAAGAGTTAACCGCAGCTCTTCTGACCTCCAAGCCCGACTCCTTTTATTGCAGGGATGACAAATGTGACATGTACATAAAAGAAAAGAAAAAAATGAGGCCTCTGTCTGCTTTCCTCTTTGCTGGGGAAGTGTTGTTTTTTTTCCTTTGGAGACTTTCTTTACTTCACATTGTAAGGATTTACTTTTGTACATTAAATATATATTGGCTGTGGCTTGGCTGCCAATGTGGAAGGCCCCAGCTTCCTTCCCTCTCCCGGGGTCCTTTGGCCTCTCTTTTCTGTTTGAACTCCACAGGCGTGGTGAAGTTGGTCAGTGGAAAAAGGTCTGGATTTCGTGAGCAAAGTCCAAGTGCGTGAGGCTCCCTGCAGCTTAGGGTCTCCTGTGAGTAGAGCAGATGTTTTAAAACCCTCTCAGTGACACTGGTAACCCGAGGTGGGATTGTAACTCCAGAGCGGTGCTTTTTTCCCTGTGTGGTTTGCCAGAAATAACTTTATTTTATTTCTTTTGGCCTCACTGTGTAGTATGTGGGATTTTAATTCCCCAACCAGGGAGTGAACCTTTGTCCCCTGCACTGCAAGGCGGCTTTTTAAAAAAAATTATTTATTTTAATTGGAGGCTAACTACTTTGTAGTATTGTGCTGGTTTTTGCCATACAGCGACATGCATCAGCTACAGGTGTACATGTGTCCCCCGTCCTCAGTCCCCTGACCTCCCTCCCCATCCTGTCCTAGGCTGGCCCAGAGCACCAGCTTTGGGTGCCCTGCTTCATGCATCGAACTTACACTGGTCCTCTGTTTTACATACAGTAATGTACAGGTTTCAGTGCTGTTCTCTCAAATCATCCCACCCTCGCCTTCTCCCACAGAGTCCAAAAGTCTGTTCTTTACATCTGTGTCTCTTTTGCTGTCTTGCACATAGGGTCATCATTACTGTCTTTCTAAATTCAGTATATATGTGTTAATATACTGTATTGGTGTTTCTCTTTCTGACTTACTTCACTCTGTATAATAGGCTCCTGTTTCATCCACCTCATTAGAACTGACTCAAATGCTTTCATTGTTATAGCTGAGTAATATTCCATTGTGTATATGTACCACAACTTCCTTATCCATTCGTCTGGCAAGGCGGATTCTTAACTGCTGGACCACCAGGGAAGTCCCCAGATGCATCCTTCATTTCTCGATTGCCCTGTGAAGTGAGGGCAGCTTTGTCTGCAATTCCACCAAAATAAGAAGGTCTCAGGAACATGCTGAGGAGCAGGTGCTTACCATCCTGATGTTAGATCTCGCTAGATGAAGCAGATTTACTAGATTGACCAATGACTGATTTCTCTTCCTTCCTCTTCCTCCTCTCTGAGTATCAGTTTTGGTTTTAGCAACATAACCCACTGCATAGACCTGTAGATCTGTAGGTTCAGAGTCAGTCGCTAAGGAGTGTCCCTGGACTGGCTTTGCTTTACGTGAACAAGGAGTCCTTCTATCATCCATTGAAGAGTGTGTGGACCTGAGACACCAGGTAAAGATGAGGGTTTATAACATCTTCTTCTTACACTGTTGCTCTTCTGGCTCTGAGAAAACTTTAAACATAAAACATACCTTCCTTTTTACCTAACAGGTAGTTTCTCTGTCAAAGGCAGGATGAGTAAAACCAACTTCTACATTTAAGGTTATCTTTGAAATATTTATGAGTATGCTCAAAGGTAAAAAGGCTTTGAGTGCTTGCTGCTAAAACAATGAGTGAAGCTGATTTTCTTCTAGAATATTCTTTGATATTACTCTTGTTATTATAGAATATTATACAGTTCTTCTGCAATAAAATTCAGAAAGCTGTTTTGTTACTGCCTAGATGGGAGGGGAGTTTGGAAGAGACTGGTTACATGTGTGTGTACAGCTGAGTCCCTCTGCTGCCCCCCGGAAACTGTCACCACATTGTTAATCAGCTATGCTCCAGGATAAAATAAAAACTGTTTTTTTAAAAAAGAAAATAAGAAAACTATTTCGTTCTTTAAAAATAGTTAAAAAAAAATCTGTGTAGCTGTTTAAAGCTTCCCTAGTAGCTCAGCTGGTAAAGAATCCAGCTGCAACGCAGGAGACCCCAGTTCGATTCCTGAGTTGGGAAGATGCCCTGGAGAAGGGATAGGCTACCCACTCCAGTATTCTTGGGCTTCTCTGGTGGTTCAGACGAAGGTAAAGAATCCACCTGCAATGTGGGAGACCTGTGTTCGATCCCTGGGTTGGGAAGATCCCCTGGAGGAGGGCATGGCAACCCACTCTGTATCCTTGCCTGGAGAATTCCATGGACAGCGGAGCCTGGCGGGGTAAGGTTCGTGGGGCTGCAAAGGGTCGGACACGACTGAGCGACTAAGCGCAGCCCGGCAGCTGTGTGAAAACGAACACAAGATGGTGCCAGAGAGCTGAGGTGGAACGGGATTTGCTTTCAGAGACTGGAAAGACTTGAGTGCAAAGGGGTGGCCTGGGGCTGGCGAGTATTTCTGAGAGATGGGTGCTGTGAAGCAGGGGGAGCTAGCACCCCTCTCTTTGCCCACTCTTACCACCTTGACTGTCCTCAGGAAGCCTTTCCACAGCTTTGCACAAACTTTTCAGCCCTGGTGCCCATCCTCAGACCCTCAAAACCTGTGGAAGAGGCAGGTCGGCTGTGAGCAGAAGATGGAGGAAAAGGGAGAAGAAGGCTGTGAAGAGCAGAGAAGGGGCTTTCCAGGCTGTTCCCGAGGGGTCAGCGCCTCTCACGGGGGTTGGTCAGCAAGTCTCTGCCTCCTGGTGGCCACGGACACAGGCGGGGGAGGGGAGCAGGGGCCACGTCTCCCCATGGGCCCACTTTTAATTAGTTGATTAATTAGGCTGCGTCGGGTCTTTGTTGCAGCGCACGTCAGGTGGGATCCATTGTTGTAGCTCGCGGGCTCAGAGGAGGAGATGGTTGGATGGCATCACCCGCATGGTGGACATGAGCCTGAGCATGCTCCAGGAGGTGTGAAGGACGGAGGAGCCTGGCATGCTGCAGCCCACGGGGCCGCAGGGTCAGACACGGCTAAGACTGGATAACACCAGGCTCAGTGGTTGCCGGGCCTGGGCGCAGTTGCCCTGCAGCTGTGGGATCTTAGTTCCGGGACTGGGGACTGAACCCACGTCTCCCACATGTAAGCTGGATTCTTAACCACTGTACCACCAGGGAAATCCCAGGCCCACATTTTTAAAGTATGGAGAGCTTTGTTTTTATAGAAATTGTGGTAAAATTCATACGGCAAAACAACATTGGCATCTTTTTCAAAAAACCTTTTTCATTATGGTAAAACATAGGACATGAAATCTACCATTTTAACCATTTTAAAGTGTATCGTTTGGTGGCATGAAGCACATTCACAGTGTGGTGAAGTCACCATCACCACCTCCAGATCTCTTTTCATCTTGTAAAGCCGAAGCTCTGCACCCATCCACCCCACTTTCTCTCTCCCCACTTCCCCAGGCCCTGGCATCCACCATTCTGCTTTCTGTCTGGATGAATCTGATGACTCTAGGGACCTCATCTAAGTGGAATCATACAGCCTTTATCCTTTGCATATCTGGCTTATTTCACTGAGCATATTGTCTTCAAGTTTCATCCATATTGCAGCAGGTTTCAGAATTTCCCTCCCTTTTAAGGGTGAATAATATTCCATTGTATTAATATGTGTAGACCACACTTTGTTTATCCATTTATCCATCAGTGGACACTTGGGTTGCTTCTAGCTTTTGGCCACTGTGTATAATGCTGCTATGCATGTGCGTATACAAGTGTATCTTTGAGCGCTTTCTTTCCCTTCTTTTGAGGGTATACAAAGAAATGGAATTGCTGGATCAAATGAAAATGCCATGTTTAATTTTTTGAGAAACAGCCATGCTGTTTTCTACAGTGGCTATACTGCTTACCATTCTTAAAGCAATGCAGAAAGTTTCCAAATTCTCTACCTCCTCACCACAGTTGTTAGTTCTGTTTTTTTTTCTCCTTAAAGACTAATCTAGTGGAGGTTCAGCTTAAAAAGAAAAAAAACCTCTTTATTGAATTTGTTACAGTGTTGCTTCTGTTGCTTGTGTTCTGGTTTTCTTTGGCTGGGATTTAGGTCCTTGACCAGGGATTGAACCCACAGCTGCTGCACTCTGACAGTGAAGTCTTAACAGATGGAAGGCCAGGGAACCAGGGAAATCCCCCTCACCCTCACCTTATTATTATTTTTTTTAAGATGTATTTATTTTTAGCTGTGCTGGGTCTTCGCTGCCGTGCACAAGTTTTCTCTACAGCTGCGGCCAGTGGGAGCTGCTCTCCATTGCCGTGCGGGCTTCTCATTGCGGTTGCCTCTCTTGCCACAGAGTGTGGGATCACTGGTTGCGGTGCACTGGCTGAGTTGCTCTGTGATGCCTGGGATCTTCCTGAACTGGGGATCGAACCCGCGTCCCCTGCGTTGGCAGGTGGATTCCTAATCACTAGATCACCAAGGAAGCTCCCTGCCCCCCTTTTCTACAATAGCCATCCTAATTGGCATGAAATGGTCTCTCATTGTGGTTTTGATTTGTGTTTCCCGGAGAAATTGGTTTTTATTTACTTATTTGAAGTCACAGTCTTTCTTCAGTCACGAGCTTGTGCAGTGGTGAAAACCGTGGGGTCCAGTGTGTGACCCCTTGAGATGCCCAGTGCCCCAGCTCTGTGATGTCAGCGAGTCCCAGCGGCCCTGAGCCTCAGTATCTCCACCTGACAGAGAGGGTTCCTGATAATTCCTTCCACACAGGTTGGTTGGAGGAAGACACGGCGTAGGGTGCAAGGAGCTTTCAGCACGGCTCCTGCACACAGTTAATGTTCAGAGGACGTAGCCATGAATGCAGAAGCCCAGTCATAACTCAGTTAACCAGATGGTGCTGAAGTTGATCTGGCCACAGACAGACTTCCAATTCCTTTCATCTATATTGGTGTGCATGCTCAGTTGCTCAGTTGTGTCCGACTCTTTGCGACCCCATGGACTGTAGCCCACATGGGTCCTCGACCCATAGGATTCTCCAGGCAAGAATACTGGCGTGGGTTGCATTTCCTCCTCCAGGAGATCTTCCCGACCCAGGGATCTAACCCGCATCTCCTTCAGCTCCTGCATTGCAAGCAGATTCTCTACCGCCAAGCCACCAGAGGAGCCCTTCCTCAACATCTGCTTTCCCCCAAATCTTGTCCCTGTGTGAGGCATCTTTAGCAGAGAGGAGCCCCGTCTGAGGCCTGCATAACTGGTTTCAAGGGTCCTTCTTGATACCGGAGTCTAAAACTGTCACTGGAGATCGCTGAGCCCATTTCCGAGTCTCAGGTGGAACAGTTCAGTGTCACCAGCATCTCCCTGGGATCCTGGGAGCCTTTTGAAACTCTTGGACCACCGTCATTCTTCCAGATGATGACTCGCATGCCAGGGGTCCTACCCTGGAGGCTCAGCTGGACACAGACTGACTAGCATGTGTGGGTGACACCTGGAGTTTCCATCTGCTCAGCTCAGCTTCCTCTGCGAAGACTCTTCCCTTGGGCAGGAAGGGTCTGCTGACTGCAGGACTATGAGCTGGCAGGCTTCACGAGGAGACAAAGCATTGCCGTGACTAGCAATGTGAAGGGATGCTTGGAGGAAAAATGGGTCAGCTCGAACTTCATTAAATGTGTTTGCCCTTTGCAATTCGGCAGGAGCGAGAAGTGTTTTGAAACAGAATGCAGCAAGGTCACCTGAAGTCAGGAAGCTTGGGAGGAGAGTGGCTCGGGTGGGACATGGGACCTTTTTCTTCTGAGGAGCTGCTGATAAATTCAGGATGATTGGTTTTTGGAGCTTGGCCAGGAGGTTTCTGTTCACTGTGCAGGAACAATCCTTACAAGCAGAGATAGTGTCTGCCCAGGGCAGTTAGGGAGCAGCAGAAACAGGAGGGCCAGGCTGATGCACAGGAGCAGAGAGACCAAGGGGACGGCTGGCTCAGGGCACACGGGGACCCCACGTGGCTCCCCAGGAGCTGACCCAGGCTCCTCAGGGAGCTTAGGTATGTGCTGGGAATGGTGGGCAGGTTCGGAGTCAAGAGCTAATAGCAAGGAGAGCAAATGTCATAAGAGCTCCCAAAGAGCATCCTAGTTGTCTCCATGGCGACCGCAGACAGAGAATCCATGAGGGTAGGTGGTCATTCTGGGGTTACTCACACCCCATCCCTAACAAATGCCCAAAGACAAGCCCCCAAGCCCTGGATGGTGGAACTGAACTCATCTCATTTTGTGTGTAGCCAGGGGCTTCCCTGGTGGCTTAGTGGTAAAGAATCCACCTGCCAATGCAGAAGATGTGGGCTCAATCCCTGTGTTAGGAAGATCCCTGGAGAAGGAAATGGCAACCTACTCCAGCATTCTTGCCTGGGATATCCCATGGGCAGAGGAGCCTGGACTCTGCTACAGTCCACGGGGTCTCAAAGTCGGGCATGACTTTGCAACTAAATGAAGACAAACAACAGGCATCTTGAGAAGACTCTAGGATAAGCTATCCCTTGGAGCCTGGGGTTTGGTTTACCAGCCTGGGCAGGGTCACCAACGGGGGACACACAATGACCACCTCTTGTTTTTACTCAGGAAGCAGCTCAACCACACTTTCCCTGGGTCAGTGGCTCATTGCTCTGCAGAGAACATTAAAAGCATCCATAAAAGAGATATCACAGATTTCGTTGGCCGTAAACCTCAAAGATGAATTTCCTCACCACATTTTATGAGTATGGGTTTTAAAGCTTTCACAATGGGGCTGCCCTTCTCCAGGAGCCATGAACTTCCTCCTGGGGTGATGGTTTGTGTTGTTCACTCAGCCAGGAGACGACCTCAGACGATACATGATGACTCAACATATGAAACTGACAAAGGCCATTATCTTTTGTTTTCTTTTCCATGGGTGGCAGAGGGGAGATGTTAGTCCATAGATGGGATCCTCTGAGGAAGCTACAGTAGGGATGACCAGAGATGCTGTGGTCCCCAACTGTATCCAGAGACCCTGAGGGTTAGAAAGAACAGGTAGCATTAACATGTGCATTTTGAAGGGTGACACTTCCCAGGTAGCACCGGTGGTAAGGAATCCTCCTGCCAATGCAGAAGACACAGGTTGGATCCCTGCATCCGGAAGATCCCCTGGAGAAGGGAATGGCAACCTGCTCCAGTATTCTTGTCTGGAAAATTCCGTAAACAGAGGAGGCCTTGGTAGTCCATGGGGCTGCGAAGAATGGGACATAACTGAGCACACACACACTATGAGGGAAAGGTGGTGAGATGAACAAAACCATAGATCGTTACAGCTGGACCAGGTCTTTGGGACCATTTGCCCCAGTTGGTTAAATTTACAGATGGGGCACCAAGCTTCATCACATTTGAGGCTTCATTCAAGGTTATCCAGAAGCCTCAACACTTAAAAATAATTCTTTAATTACCAAAGCAAAGTTTCCTTCCTTAAGTGGGGCAGTTAAAGGAAACACAAGCCTTCATTTGTGGCCTAATAATAACCCCAAAGTTTTCTCCTGCCCTAAATGAAGAAACCTCATTAACAAATGGGGCTTTTGTTCGAGAGAAGCCACAAAGCATGGCCTGTTTCTCCCCCCCTCCCCAGAAGGACAGCAGCAATTAGAGCTTGTGGCTTAGGGGGTGAATTTCTGTGCCTTCTCTGCGCTTATGGAGAGGTTTGAGTCATTAATGAGATGCTAATGATCCAGCTCTCAAACTTAACTAGAGTTCACTCTGAGTTTCCTGGAAGAAGTACAGAAACTGCCCCCACCCCTTCCTCTAACCTGTTGTGGTGAATTCAGGCTAACCCTGGAGCAAGGGGCCGATTTGCAAAAGCTGGGCTGATTAAATCCCAATTACTTTGGCAAAACGATTTCCCCAAGAATGTGTTCTCAGCAAGGACATAACCCCCAGACAATGGGTGTGTATATGATATGGTTTAGAAACTTGACTTCCCACTCCGCTGGCCTTGTTTTTCTTCTGCATGACCCAAAAAAGATCTGCTTGGTCACATTTTGTTCACAGCTGGCTTGGCTTCGAACTGGATCATTCTCCCTGTTGTCATCTCGGACATTTGTTTTGAAACAAAGGCCTGGCCTTTCGTTTTGTGTATGGACAGTGTTATGTTCTTTGTTTTTGTGATAGAAACTGTGTCAAATCTGCACAATACATAAAAAGCTGCTAGCCTGTGCCTGGGCTTCCCCGGTGGCTCAGACGGTAAAGAATCCGCCTGCAATGCAGAGATCTGGGTTCAGTCCCTGGGCTGGGAAGATCCCCTGGAGGAGGGCATGACAACCCACTCTAGTATTCTTGCCTGGGGAATCCCCATGAATAGAGGAAGCTGGTGGGCTACAGTCTGT